TATGAAAATAAACTATGAAAATATATATATATATATATATATATATATATATATATATATATATATATATATATGTATGTATATCAACAAAAAAATTCTGTCTTAGAAAAATGATGAACAAATCAATTTTTTTGTCTTAGAAAAAATAACACCCTGATGATGACATTAACTAATTTTGAAAGTACTCAGTATGAATAAATATTTAAAATAAATATGCATCAACATGGTAATTTTCTTTGTTCTTTTAATAAGGATACTAAGAAATGTGAGTGCGTTTGTTGCAATAATAATGGTTTCTGAAGCAGAGAAATACAATTTACACATAGAGATAACAATTTAAAGTTAAATTTATACAATTATTAAAAAACATATATCTCTAAGTATAGACCAATTTTTGTCTAAGTCATACACACACTGCACTTTACTCAAAACAAATTTTAAAACAAACAGAAATCTACCAGAGTGCTTGTCATTATTAATGCAATGCTTGTTTGCCATAGATGTCTATATATATGTCTCTGTGTTTCCCATATATATGCTACAAGAGAAGGCGGACAGAGAACAAAAGACAGGGAGCTGAGATAGAGGAAGACTTCACACACTCATGCTATCCAAGAGCATGTCTGACTGTCTGACCATTAGGCTGTGAAAACGACCTCTTGTGAACACAGAAAGAGACTCTACTGTCAATCACTTTTCACACTCTCATTTCACAACTTGTACACCACACATTCAAAGACTAAACTATATGACTTACCAGATTATTTCTCCAAACCATTGTCTAATTCGTTTCTTTACTCCAATCAACTTTCACCTCGGATCATTTCTATCACTTTTAAATACTTTTTGTAGTTGTAAGTACATATCACATATCAAGGTTTGTACTATACAAACAAAAATGACTAGAGCTCAATATAGACAGGTTTCAATCAGTGTGAAATTGCACCAGGGACATGTCATCTAGCTGGGCAGAGAAGGCAGTGCAGTGCCTATTCTGAATAAAATAGATCAGCAGCTACATTTTTCTTCTCTGGCACAATATGAACCTAATCCAACAAAATTTTGAAGGTTACTCTGGTTATTGTGTATAAAATGCAAATATTTTATTTTTTTGTAGATTTATTACATAAATATCACAAGTCACTTTTTTCCAGGTTTTCAGATAAGATATTTAGCCATCTTGACACCGTTTGTTGTAAGAATCACTGAAAAACCCTTTGGGTTATTCAGCTAGAAAGAGAACAGGTTAAAATCGCTTTGTGTCAGCTCACCGTCTTCCCAAATGAGCAATGGTGAGAGGAAAAAGATCATGCAGGCCTTCAGTAATGGTAGTAAGATTCATACTCTGGTTTCCATCATCATTTCAACTTAGAGCTAAAGAGATCCATTAGAAAAGATCCAACTCAATCCATAAGATGTTTGTTAGTGATGGAGAGAGGAGTTTCAGCGATGACAGTCCAGAGAGTAGTAAAAAAAGACCTGAAAATGAAATTATTTGTGAAAAATGTGAGGCACCTTGTTACTCCAGGACAGAAAGTTAGAAGGTTAGAGAGGGGAGAAGATATCTGGAATAATATATATATATATATATATATTTGAATTTTATTTCAATCCTTCATGAGCTTCAATCCTTAGCTATGATTAATTAATGATGAACATATCATTTTTCATTTATGATTGATTTCATCACGCTTCTTCAGTTAAGCTTGGAGAGTAATTATACATTCTTATTGCTCAAAGTAGAGTTCATTAGTGCTATAAAACCTCAAAGAATTCCAGTAAGATATCTTTAATCATTTCTAAGATATAATGGTTCAAAGCTTAATCTAACAAGTGGACAATTTTGCTTTTACATGATTTGGACAATTTTGCTGTTACACTGGTGTCTACATATATATATATATATATATATATATATATATATATATATATATATATATATATTAAAAGAAAAACAAAACCATTGATGGAACCAACATACAACTTGCCAAAATGTAAAACTCTTATCCAGATAAAGTCTCAAACAACAATGACAATGCTGAAGAACCTATCTGCTTAGTAAAGTGCTCAAAGACTAGACAGTGCAAAAAATGCTTATCAACATTAATATTATGAAAGGATGGCCCTAGTCATAATTCGAGTTTTCCATTCACATGATCTTCAGACAACTTGAACACAAATGAAAAAATGAGCAAGACGAGCATAAAATCATACTTGAGCATCACAAGAAAAAAATAAAACAAAATAATTTCCTTAAAAAATCCGTGGATAACCATACACCTTCACAGAGGAAAAAGAAAATAGAGAAAGCAAAAAGCCATGTGGGTGGGCTAAACTACTAATGCTCATATTGTAGAGTCAGGTTCAGTGGAAAAATAAAACAAACGCATACACCAATGAACCAATATATCAACTATCAAAACAACCACAAGTTACTGATCATTTTTCAAAAATAAGAAAAAACATTTTTGTTCCTATAGACACACATATATAAAAATTTACATATTCAGTAAATCAATATAAAAAAAAATTCTTGATAATAATTAATAGAATAGAATGTACGTATATACAACATTCAGATATAAAGAACATTTGGACAGTTTTTACTTTTTACACACTTATGTCCAGAAAAGAAAACACTTGAAGACAAGAAAATTGAATAAAACATTAATCACACTCCTATAAAAGAAAGATTGGTTACTAAATATACATACATATATATATATATATATATATATATATATATATATATATATATAAAAGGCAGGATGTGTGTGTGTGTGTGTGTGTGTGTGTGTGTGTAATGCAGGGCCACAATTAATGACGGATTTGCACCAAAATTTACATGCACATGCTCCAAGTTAGTGGGAAGGCCAAGACTGACCTTGCATTTCCCAACTCCCACCAATAGTGGAAATAATTGATTTTTTCATGCTTTTACAGCAGTTTTCATGTAGTTTGCAGCCATTTTGTAAAAGGTTTAAAAGCTTAACCCAATCATAAGATAGAAAAACCCTTTAAGAAGTCATCAAAAAAACAAATTGTAGTTCAGTGCGATGTGTTTAAGTATGAAAAAAAAAATTAAAGGATAAAAAAATGAATGCCATCATTTGCTTTGAAATGGATACCCCCACCCTATCTCAGCTTGACCTCTTTCCGAAGGTGACTGATATGTGGATACAAATTAACTCTTAGTCCCCTTATCAAAATGGTCACCCAGCCATTTCCATAGTAATTAATTTTGCAAATGAACATGCTTATAAAGATGCATAAATTTCAAGATTGGTTATTCCTAAATTTTCACTTGAGGATGAAACAGGGCTTGATACTTTAACTCAATTTAATTTTAATAATTATATTGAGGTTTTCAGCTCTCGTTTTTGAAACATGAGAACTCTTATGTAGTGAAGGAATCATATTTTTCTAAAAATAATTATAATATATATATATATATATATATATATATATATATATAGACTAATAAATATACATAATACCCCATGCTGACAGTACGACTCATGCACTATGCAATCATCAGGTACAAAATCTGGTTATTAGTTCTGGGTTTCACAGTGTTAGTTCGATAAATTATTGCTATTGTTAAATATTTTAATGTTGAATTATTACTATTGTTAAATATTTTAATGTTGAATTGTTACTATTGTTAAATACACTTAAATATTTAACAATAGCTATAATTTATCCAACAGACACAGTGAAACTGCGAGACCAATAAATATTAACCAGATTGTGAACAGTTCTTTTGTACCTGATGATTGCATAGTGCATGAAACTCCAAGTAATACTATCAGTGTTGGGTATTATATATATTTAATAATATATACTTAATAGCTCTGTTATTCTGCCTTGAGCACTGTTTTTTTACACCAAAGGATATATATATATATTTGTATGTGATCAGTTGCACATATATTTACAATTTTGAACAATAAAAAATATTAAAAAATTAAAATCTTCAGACACACTGGGTTGTGGATTAATATTCTTTTGTTTTTTTTATTATTATTATTTCATTTAGATTCCTTGACTAGTTTCGGCCAACATGGCCATCATCAGGAGAAGAAATATTTCTGCTTGCTGGTAGCAGTGAACTACAGAAATGAATGTCTTGATGGAGAAAATGAACTTTTGTCTGTAGTTTTCATTTGTTTTTTTTATTTTTTTTAACTTTTTAACATAAATCTTTTAACATTCCTTGTGTTGGTCAAACAGTCTCTTTTAAGTTGTTATTTGAGATAAGAGCTGGATGGATCCATGCTGCTTTGAATTCCCCTGATCAATTTATATATATATATATATATATATATATATATATATATAAATAAAAAGAAGAACAGTAAGATATATAATCCGGTGTTCTTACTCATATTTTTTATTTTTATTTTTTCAAAAACAGTACTCAACGTAAATTTACAGAGCCTAAATATTATAAATTAACTGATTTAAAATATGTTTTATATCACTTAATTTATAATATATATATATATATATATATATATATATATATATATATATATTTCATTTTTTCATACCAGTCTATAACTGTTTATTCATATCTATCTATCTATCTTGACTGCTAATTGATTCCTTACCGAATGGCTCATCACAAATATCATAGAGGCAACGAATTAATTAAGCTTCAAAATAAAGACAAGATGAGGATTTGTCTTTGGAAAAATTTCCTTAACAAACGAATCAGCAAACGATGAGAATCGAAAGTTAAAACTAAATGAGAAGAATGTGAAAACAGTGAATCTAAAAATAACGACATGTGACTTCACACATTGATTACTAATTATCAGTTACGATTGTTTAATCTTTTCTTGCCACTCAACCAATCATTCGACCTCATTCCATAGAAACATGGGTAAATCTCTCCTCCTTTCTCATTTTCTCTTTTTCACTCTCTTAATTAATCATACTTTATATTTCACTACTTACCTTTTGATATATTTAGCATCTTTGGCCTGTCTTACAAGTTAGATAGATAGATAGATAGATAGATAGATAGATAGATAGATAGATAAAGAACAGACTGAGATAGATAGATAGATAGATAGATAGATAGATAGATAGATAGATAGATAGATAGATAAAGAACAGACTGAGATAGATAGATAGATAGATAGATAGATAGATAGATAGATAGATAGATAGATGAACAAACTAAGATAGTGTGAAGGATAAATAAATATGAATTGACTGAGAGAGATGAATAGATATATATGAACAGAGATAGATGGATAGAGAGACATGAACAGACATTAGTACATTGTCTGTTGTTTTTAATGAAAGATGCATGAATGAAGGACTGATGCGTAAATGCACAATATGTGTGTGTCTATGTTATATGTCTGTTATATATCTATATATATAGATAAATAGATAGGTAGATAGATAGATCTGAACAGACTGAGATAAAGAGATAGAGAGATATGAACAGATGGAGAAAGAAATGCCTAGAGATGTAGAGAGAAAAGAGATTTCAACATAAATATGAACTAAATTAGATGAAGATAAATAAATATGAAAATCCTGAAAGATAGAAATAGATATGAAGAGTGATAGATAGATAGATAGATAGATAGATAGATAGATAGATAGATAGATAGATGAACAAACTGAGAGGAGGATAAATAAATATGAATAAAAAGTGAGAGAGGAATAGATTTATATGAACAGAGATAGATAGATAGATAGATAGATAGATAGATAGATAGATAGATATGAACACACACACACACACATATATATATATATATATATATGTATACAGAGAGAGATAGATAGATAAAGAGAAAAACATGAATGAACTGAGATAGAGAGAAGGATAAATAAATTTGAATAGACTGAGAGATGAATAGATATATATAAACAGAGATAAACAGACTGATATATATATATATATATATATAGATAGATAGATAGATATATAGATATAGATATAGATATAGATATAGATATATATAGATAGATAGATAGATAAACCTGAACAAACTTAGATAGGTAGAAAGAAAGTAAAAGATAAATAGAGGAAATGAACAAACACGGACTGATTTGAATGCTCAGATGAATTAATAAATGTAGTTTATAATATGAATTTTATTTTTTATGCCATTACCAGAAATAGAAACTTTGTGACATTGTTTTTTATAAATTTTTATATCTGGACATTTTATCAAAACTGTTTTTTCTCTGTCCTGTTGGCTATTTTGAAGCTTCAAAATCATGATTGGAAAGCCTGCAAGACGTATTTGCTACACTAACTTCTTTCATATTCTGATTAAATAATCATATGAACAGGTCTACCATTCAAATTCATATCCTTGTTTATTTTTTCATCTCTATTTGCTAAGTGGATCTAAAAGAGTGTTTTGAAATCTTTTTTTTAAATATTTTTTGCTGTGACCCTGAACATAATGAAAATCTTACAATATTTTTTTTTAGCAAAATATAATGAATTAAGGTTAGGTTCAGGCTCATTAGAAAGGATTTATCTAATATCAGATGTTAGCGCTGTATGAAAAAAACATATATTCTTTGCTGTTTCTCTGTCCTTCTCTCATAATTGGTTTCAAAATAGTATTACATTTCTGACAGGCAACTGTTTTGCTGGGAATGAAAACATTAACATGACATCATATCAAAGAAGAGGTTAATAAGTTGTAAAAAAAGCAATATTGGCTTTAAAATGGTATTTTCCCGGACCTTTTTGGTCAAGAGATGAGAAAATGTCTTTAGTAACAAGGAAACGAGTACTGAACTGCTATGTCCTATCTGATCATCTACATGGCTGTAAATGCTGGACAATCTGCACACTTGAAGTAACAGAAATGCGGTTCTACCAATATATGCTGAGAATACTACAGAGAGAATATGCAAAGAACAAGGAACATCTAATGAGAGTAGGAACTATAAAGGAACTGATATTTAAAGATTTAAATTTCTGGGACACATAATGAGGAAAGAAGAGCAAGAGAAGTTAACACTCACAGGACAGATTATAAGCAAGACTAGTGAGAGGAAAACAGTGATCAACCTATTCACTTAGTTTGAGTCAATGGATATCAAAACAAGGTAAAGTGGGTTAGCAAAGAGGCAAGTTACTTTTTAGTAAGAAAATAAACAATGCTGTGGAGAGCCATGATCGTTTACATCCTGAAAGGACATGCCATGTAAAAGAATATTTAAATGAATTAGGATGGTGCATCTAATAATCGTTGCTCATGGTGTGTGATTGATTGGCTTGTTTTTTTTATGGCTTATCATCCTTTTTTGTTTTATTTAAAGCCAAAATATAATTTGGATTGTAAGAATAATTCCTTTTTATTGTGAATAAATATTGCATCAACAATCATTTTGTGAAGAACAATGATTTTTCCAGATACAAGTCCTAGTATTTAACCCATAGCTGAGGGAGGAAATGGATTCATACCTTTCCCACTGGTGGGGTGTGTGAGTAGATGTACATTTTATAATGTTTCTGCTTCCTTCATTCATTGTAACAAGTGCTGATCAAGTGCTGATATAACATTATGTTTCTGTTCACAGTTGAGATTTTTGGTGGAAATGAAAACATCACCATCATATCACATCAAACAAGAGGTTAACAAGTATAAAAATACACTATCAACTCTAAAACAGCATTTTTCTAAACCTTTTTTCACCCCTCCACTTAACATTTGAAGTAATAAAAATGTCAGTTTAAAAATAAATTCATTATTTCTTTAGAAATTGCTTTGTTTATATGTCAGTTATGAAACTGAGCAGATATAGACTCTTGAGGAAAAAACATCTGAATGAGGATGTGTGCTTTGCTTAAACAAAGGCAAAATAGAGTTTGGTTGAACTGTGTGCTCTCTGTAGTTTCATGGTAAAACACACCAGATCAAATGGTAGTTTGTTCTACAAAGACTGATGCAGGTTCAGTCCCTGCTGGAGAGTACATTTTCTTTATTAAGTTTTCTCAAATGAACATGCTAATAGATGTAGTACACACTATTTAAATGGGATGTCTGTTTCAAATACGATTATCCAGTAGTTTGTAGTAATAAAAATGTTGGATTTAAAATACATCCATTATTTCTTCAGAACTGAATGGCTTCATAATCCTCCTTAGCAACCTATCCGAAATATCCAGCTCTTTTGCAATCTTCCTCATGCTTCTTCATAGATTTCTCTTCACCATCTTATTTATGGTTTCAATGAACGTTCATGGTATGAACCAAACAGAACAGAATGGTTTCTTCTTGGAATTGGATTTGATGAAATTGTTTATTCCTCTCAAAAATTCTTCCACACATTAAAATAATTTTCTGAAAATATGCTACTGTTTTATTACCTCACAATTCTACATACCATCCATTTTCAATGCAAAAGTTCAATCATGTTTTGTTTGAGTTGCTGTATTTGATTAAACTGTAAACAATAAAACAAAATAACATCAGGAAGCCTCATAGAAAATTTTAAACTATTTTGACAAATAGGTATGCTTCAATTTATATTTAAATAATGGGTAAATTTTTATGTTTAAATAAGGAGTAAATATTTATGTCACACCCAGTATATTGTATACTGGGTAGGGTTTGACAAAAGGACAAAGGAAAAGAGTCCTGAATAAGAAAGAAGCAAACAACTTGGTGGTCTAAATCCAACTGCTTTATTTCTCAATGTCAACAGCTAGCAGTGTACTTTTAGGGGGTTAGTTTCATATATTAGTAATTTTAGTAGAAGCTATATTTACATATGGTAGTTTCATATGCTGATATCTAAAATGGTAAATGACCAATATGGATGTTGTAAATAATGGAATTTGCATTCTAGAGAGTAATAAGATTCAAGTCTTATGACACCAATCAGTCTGCATGATTTCAACCATTTTTTAAGCTTATCTGTCAGGGACCTATTGCTTGGATATTATGAAATGAAACGGAACCAGATTCACTCCCTTTTATTTATAACTTCAATGACCATTCATGGCATGAACCAAACAGAACAGAATGGTTTCTTCCTAGAAATGGATTTGATGAAGTTGTTTGCTTCTCGTGAAACTTCTTCCACACATTAAAAACACTTTTTTGAAAATATGCTACTGCTTTATCACTCACAATTCACCATCCCAGTCCTCATCAATGCAACAATATGATCATGTTTTGCTTGAGCTGGCATATCTAATTAATCTAAACAATAAAAGAAAAGATACAAAATCTGAAACTATTTTTAACAAATAGGTAAGTTCCAATTTATGTTTACATAATGGGAAAATTTTGATGTCCAACCCTATATAATACACACACACACACACACACACACACACACACACACACACACACACATATATATATATATATATATATATATATATATAAAAAGTGAATATTGAAGTCAACACTCAGAGGCAACAGGCTGTTTCATGCTGGATGCAATGCGTCTAGCATGCAACAGCCTATCGCCTCTGAGTGTTGATTTCAATGTTCACTTTTATATATATATTCACATATGCTCTATCTCTGATATTGAGCATTTTATCCCATAAATATAGCACACCTTAAAACTACATTTGTCCTGTCAGATTAATAAATAAAAAAAATCTCTATAAATCTATATATTTAAACAAACTTAATTAAATACACCTAACAAGGCCTGCCTACTTATTTTTATTGTATTTATTTTTCCAATTTTCAAAAATATTGTTGCACATCCATATCAAAATTATGAATAAAAATCCAAAGTTCATAGTTTTGTTCTATTTTTGTCCAAATATTTTCAATTGTCTGAGTCATTATCAAGTAGCATATGTTTTGAAGAATTGTAGAAAAGGTAATGCCAATGCCAATAGTCCTATCAGCCGTTTCCCTATAAGGAAACAACCAGCATTCATTGACCAAGCACACAGTGCTGCTTCATGTTGAAATTTATAAAATCTTTCTCTTAAAACAATTTTTCAGGAAAATAGGTTTCTCAAGTCCAGTAGCTGTTATTGCTTTTTCCCATATTTATGGGAGATTTCCTTCCTTGCTTTTCATTTAGGTAATGTCAGCAACTTGATTATGTTATTTTCTCTTCAAGTTACACATGCTATCCATTTTATTTCTTGCTGCTGTTGGAAGTCCTCAAAACTATGAATGCCTGTCTCATTGGTGTAGTCCTGCCCCATCCTCTGTACATTGCAGATATTTTAAGTCCACTAACTGTTTTTGCCCTTTCCACTATTAATGGGGTTTTTCCCTCTTAACCTTTTGTTCAAAATTACATGTAATATCTATTTAAGTCATGACTACTGTCAAAAGTCCTTAAGTGATGTGGTTTCTCTTATTTTATAAAGTTCTTTGTTTGTGATTCTGTATTACCAGTCCACAAGATTTGAAGGTGAACATTTCTCTCCAAGAACTATTAGTTAGTAGATGGGTATCCTCCAATACAAGTGGCCAGTTATTATTATTATTATTATTATTATTATTATATATATATATATATATATATATATATATATATATATATATGGTTATATGGTAATATTAATTGTTTCCTTATGTGGAAACATTCATTGACTGAGAAGCCACTGCTATATTCAATTGTAATTTATTCAGGAATTTATCAGGAAAATAGGTTTCAACTGTTATTACTCTTTTGGGGATTGATGGGAGATTTCCTTTGGAACCTTTTGTTCAAAATAGTGTGGCATGTCAGCATTTTGCTTATGTCGTTATTTTCTCTTTGAGTTACATATGCTATCCATTTTAGTTGTTGCTGCTTTTGGTAATCCTCAAGTGATATGGTTTCTGTTATTTAGTACAGCTCTTTTTTTGTGATTCTGCATTGCCAGTGCACAAGACTTGAAAGTGAACAGTTGCCTGCAAGACCTGTAAGTTTCATTAACTTGAAACCATTTTTAATCATTGAACTGAGAAAGGAGTTAGCCTCATATATATGACATCCATATGAAAGTCTTGATCTGATGAGGCTATTTAAGAACATGACTCAAATTCTAAGGTTAATGTTTTGGTTCTGTAGCAATTTGTGGTGCTGGACAAAACTAGCACAGCCTATTCTGTGTTCATTTTCCTTATCAATTATACTTAATTTATTATAACTAATCTATACACTAAAGTATTTGAAATGTTTAATATTAATTAATTCAACATTCTGAATTTTTATACTGGATTAAGGGTATGTGGTATCCCTGCTTTCATTCCAATTCCATATCATTGTTACTGTTTTGGAAAAGGTTTATCTTGAGTCCTACCTCTTGGAACACTTGGTAAAGAATATTGATTTTTTTTGTTCACGATCATTCTTGTTCTAATTATGGATGCTTATGTCATCAATATAGCTCCCTTCATTCTCTGTACACTGGCCCAGTGAGGGGAAGTAGGAATGTTGTATTCTAACAGTCGATTCATTTGGAATATGATATGGAATATTTAAGTGATCAGCGCCAACAGAATATATTAAATATATTTTTTGGAATGTTATATATCAGATTTAGATATCTATTCATTATATAAATTAATTCATTTGTTGAATTTTTTCACAGAGCACAGAAATGATTATCTACATATTTTATATGTATCATAATTATTTTATACACATTTTAAAATGTTATCTCCCATTTTAAAATGTTATCTCCCATTTTAAAATGTTATCTCCCATTTTAGAATGCCATCTCCCATGGCAAATGATATTTTAAATAAAATATTATCTTCTGTATAAAAGTATATTTAAGAAAATATATTTTAAATAAAATATCTTTCACCACAGGAGATGGCATTCTAAAATGTGTATAAAATTTGGCTATAAGCAAAAGGAAGATAAAATATATGTGTTACATATTGGAGATGTCAAAAATCAGACAGGTACGGAAATTCAATGATCGCAGTAGTGTAATAACAGGTAATGGAAAATGTGATATAGAAATTCAAAAAGGCATTGGAATAGCAACATATGACTTCCAGAAATGAAGCAAAGTATTAAGAGATGGGAAATATGCCTTCCAGAAATGAAACAAAGTATTAAGAGATGGGGAAATATGCCTTCCAGAAATGAAACAAAGTATTAAGAGATGGGGAAATATGCTTTCAAGAAATGAAACAAAGTATTAAGAGATGGGAAATATGCCTTCCAGAAATGAAACAAAGTATTAAGAGATGGGGAAATATGCTTTCAAGAAATGAAACAAAGTATTAAGAGATGGGAAATATGCCTTCCAGAAATGAAGCAAAGAATTAAGAGATGGGGAAATATGCCTTCCAGAAATGAAACAAAGTATTAAGAGATGGGGAAATATGCCTTCCAGAAATGAAACAATGTATTAAGAGAAGGGAAATTGTTGTTAGAAACAAAGAAAATGTGCTGTACTATTTTTTTTATTCAAGTTCACACCAAGCAAGATAGTAAAGCCACTAAGACACAGGGAGTTTCTGGACATGGAAGAATTAGAAAACAGAAACATCACTAAGGAGTGAAAACAAAAGGAGAGTAATCAGGAAGACAGTAGATGTTGATTGATATTGCATTTAAATTTTTGAAGATTAAACTTGACTGGAAACCATAGAGCCAGAAGAGAGTTCCACAAGTGAGAAATATGAGACAAGAAACTATTAATACAGTAGTGGAGCAGATAACTTCAAATATAAAGCGTTTGTAAAATTAAAAAAAAGTTAATTAAAAATCTGAAAGAAATAAACATCAGTTGCAAGAAGGGAGTATGTATGGTTGCTCTGGCTAACTGGTTGAAACTTTATATCGGGAAAACTTGTAAAAGGACCCTGTCAAAAAGACCAACTTAATCCCAAAACATAGTCAAACAAAGGATATTTATTATCTACCAAAAGAAATTATTGCATCAGAGAAGTTTTATTCAAATCTTCCCTGCATCTACACAATATTTTTCTTTTTTTTTTTAGTTTTTACTTTTTTTAGTTATTTCTAAAGTGGGGGACCATCACTCTGGGGCAAGTCCACCACTGTATGGGTGTCAGCTAAAGCAACAGTCCAAAATGCAAATTGCAAATTGGAGATTCCAAAATCAAACAAGTACAACAATTTAAATATCTGGAAAGTGTTTTAACAGAGGATGTAAAAAGTGACACCGAAATCTGATGTTGCAATGGGATAGCAAAAGGTGCCTTCTAAAAGCTAAGCAGAGTATTAAGGGAGAGGAAAATTTTGTTAGAAACCAAGAAAAGAGTGCTGATCTTTTAAGTAATATTGGTCCCTCTCTATGGCAGTGAATGTTAGACTCCCTTTTCTGGATGAAGAACACTAGAGGCAAAAGTAATGTATTTTTACAAAAAGATGCTGTGAATACCATGGACTGAACATGTGAGCAATAAGGAAGTTTTAAGGAAAATAGAAAAAGAAAAGCCATACTTAGAATAAAAAAAAAGACAGTTGAAATTTCTGTAACATATGGCGAGAAAAGAGAGCTTGGAGAATTTGACACTTACAGGACTGATTAAACATAACAGGGAAAGGATGGTAACAGTGAGAAACCTGCCTAATAAGTAAATGGATGACAGAACAATGATTGGGAGGGATGGTGAAAAGACAAACCTTAATAAGAGCTACAAAGAATAGGAAGTTGGGGAGACCCATTATAGAAGAAAAAATTACTACTACTTCCTTTTTCTGGAAGAAGGACAAATGATTGTCTTATTAATGATGACATCAAAGATGAAACTGTCATGATGTCTAACTTTGTGATGGAGAGTAATGATGCAGACTAAAATTTTAATGGATGGGAAAACTAGGGTCAAACAGGGGTTTTTAAGGATCGTTTGACAAATGAGATAATCCACAATTTAAATTTAAATTGATACATGGTTTAGCATCTCTTACTAACCCTGATCCTATCAATGCATTTACACCAAAAAACTAAAAAAATGTTTCCTTTAATATGATTCATAGCTAAATAAATATATAAAATTAATTTAAAAGACCTGTTCAGAAAGAAAATTAAAATTGAAATAAATAGGCACTACTGAAATTACCACTACGCATGGGGCTCGAATCTCACCATGGTCGATTTGTCAGGAAGGAGATTTCCTGATGTTATCAGACTAGAGGGGTCAATCCCAGCATGCAACACCTTTGGATAGTGCCTGAAAACCATACCACAGACTGACCCAAGCCTTGTGAGTGAAATTGGGTAGACGGAACTCTTGGGTGCCATCGGCAGCTGTGCTAGCACAAAGCTACAAGTCATTGTAGCTGAGGGCTTGAGCGTGCTGGCCTTGTCCAAATTGTTGATTATGCTAGATAACATGCTTTTTCCCAGAAACTGTAACTAAGGTCTGCTCAGCACAGTTGCAGTATAAACAACAGGTGGACTCTGTGGGCGTTGAACAAACAAAAATATGCCTGAGCAAGCGTCTGCAATAGGGATTGGCTAGCCGCCCTAGTAGACAGGTATCCTCAAATATAAGTGGCCAGCTATACTATATACTAATACTATACCTTAGCTAATTGTGCATAATATGTACCTTTAAGAAAAGAAAAATAGTGTATCAAGAAGATGGGATGCAGTGTTTTTCTAAATGTCTGGAAAAAAGTTCATATCTTTTTCTTGTGTATAATATGTACCCACAACTTAAATAATCTGGAGAAAATGTCTGTATTATTCACCAATAATTACAGCAAAGTATCAAAAGGATAGATTGGGAAGTTCTTCTGCCTGTGATGGATTCTCCAGACTTGTCACATTGTTTTAATCTGGGATCATTTTTTTCTGATCAGAAGTATCAACAATTTTAAGGCAAAATGACATAAGAACATAGAAAGCTAAGAAAAATTCTCTGTTGACTGAATAATGATGCTATGAATTTTCATATATCTGTGAATAAATTATTTATAAAAAATGCAGTGATTGATCAGTGATTTAAAAATTTTTATTATGCATTAGTACGGGCATAGATATATAGTGACATATGTAAATGGAAAAAGTTGATATCACATTTTTATGCATACCCCTAACTTTTAGTTCTTAAAAGATTAGTTCAATGTATACCCATAAAGTTTTGTTCTAAAAATTTTTTAAATATGCACAAAGCATTAGCGGATATGATAAAAATGTTGGAATGTGAAGTTCTACTGCACATGATGTCATATTGTTTTACTCCATGACATGAACATTTTTTTGTCTGATCATGAGAATAACAAGTATAATAATACCATGAACATGTCTGATCAGAAAGAGAATAACAAGTATAATAACTCCATGAACACACCTGATCAAGAGGAGAATAACAAGTATAATAACTCCATGAACATGTCTGATCAGAAGGAGAATAACGAGTATAATAACACCATGAACATGTCTGATCAGAAGGAGAATAACGAGTATAATAACACCATGAACATGTCTGATCAGAAGGAGAATAACGAGTATAATAACAACATGAACATGTCTGATCAGAAGGAGAATAACGAGTATAATAACACCATGAACATGTCTGATCAGAAGGAGAATAACGAGTATAATAACTCCATGAACATGTCTGATCAGAAGGAGAATAACGAGCATAATAACTCCATGAACATGTCTGATCAGAAGGAGAATAATGAGTATAATAACTCCATGAACATGTCTGATCAGAAGGAGAATAACGAGTATAATAACACCATGAACATGTCTGATCAGAAGGAGAATAACGAGTATAATAACTCCATGAACATGTCTGATCAGAAGGAGAATAACGAGTATAATAACACAATGAACATGTCTGATCAGAAGGAGAATAACGAGGATAATAACACCATGAACATGTCTGATCAGAAAGAGAATAACGAGTATAATAACACCATGAACATGTCTGATCAGAAGGAGAATAACGAGTATAATAACACCATGAACATGTCTGATCAGAAGGAGAATAACGAGTATAATAACACCATGAACATGTCTGATCAGAAGGAGAATAACGAGTATAATAACACCATGAACATCTCTGATCAGAAGGAGAATAACGAGTATAATAACACCATGAACATGTCTGATCAGAAGGAAAATAACGAGTATAATAACTCCATGAACATGTCTGATCAGAAGGAGAATAACGAGCATAATAACTCCATGAACATGTCTGATCAGAAGGAGAATAACGAGCATAATAACTCCATGAACATGTCTGATCAGAAGGAGAATAACGAGTATAATAACACCATGAACATGTCTGATCAGAAGGAGAATAACGAGTATAATAACACCATGAACATGTCTGATCAGAAGGAGAATAACGAGTATAATAACTCCATGAACATGTCTGATCAGAAGGAGAATAACGAGTATAATAACACCATGAACATGTCTGATCAGAAGGAGAATAATGAGTATAATAACTCCATGAACATGTCTGATCAGAAGGAGAATAACGAGTATAATAACACCATGAACATGTCTGATCAGAAGGAGAATAACGAGTATAATAACTCCATGAACATGTCTGATCAGAAAGAGAATAACGAGTATAATAACACCATGAACATCTCTGATCAGAAGGAGAATAACGAGTATAATAACTCCATGAACATGTCTGATCAGAAGGAGAATAACAAGTATAATAACTCCATGATCATGTCTGATCAGAAGGAGAATAACGAGTATAATAACTCCATGATCATGTCTGATCAGAAGGAGAATAACGAGTATAATAACTCCATGAACATGTCTGATCAGAAGGAGAATAACGAGTATAATAACACCATGAACATGTCTGATCAGAAGGAGAATAACGAGTATAATAACAACATGAACATGTCTGATCAGAAGGAGAATAACGAGTATAATAACACCATGAACATGTCTGATCAGAAGGAGAATAACGAGTATAATAACTCCATGAACATGTCTGATCAGAAGGAGAATAACGAGCATAATAACTCCATGAACATGTCTGATCAGAAGGAGAATAATGAGTATAATAACTCCATGAACATGTCTGATCAGAAGGAGAATAACGAGTATAATAACACCATGAACATGTCTGATCAGAAGGAGAATAACGAGTATAATAACTCCATGAACATGTCTGATCAGAAGGAGAATAACGAGTATAATAACACCATGAACATCTCTGATCAGAAGGAGAATAACGAGTATAATAACTCCATGAACATGTCTGATCAGAAGGAGAATAACGAGTATAATAACTCCATGAACATGTCTGATCAGAAGGAGAATAACGAGTATAATAACTCCATGAGCATGTCTGATCAGAAGGAGAATAACGAGTATAATAACACCATGAACATGTCTGATCAGAAGGAGAATAACGAGTATAATAACACCATGAACATGTCTGATCAGAAGGAGAATAACGAGTATAATAACTCCATGAACATGTCTGATCAGAAGGAGAATAACGAGTATAATAACTCCATGAACATGTCTGATCAGAAGTGCCAATAATTTTAAGGTTTTCAAAAAATTTTTCAACAATTCATAGTTTCAGATTCATTTAAAATGAGAAATTTATTTATGAAAATATGAACAGAGCCAGAGTTTCAATTTACAAGTGACCAGTATAAATATTTGTGAGCCAATTGTAACTAAGTCATATTCAAGAGTGCAAAACATAAGGGGGTGCATGTGTGTGTTATGGGGGTGGGGGAGTGATACCATACAAAAGAAGTCTGGGAAATTTGGACATCAAAAAAATTATTTATTCTAAAACTTAGTATCCACTTTCGTCTTTGAAGTGTTCCTTGTGGGCATGTCCACAGCAATGTCAAAAAAGTTAGCGACAAAACCTATACTAAATTTGGTTCAAATTACCTCAACTTGTAGGTATCACCTCATATATATATATATATATATATATATATATATATATGTTTATGTGTGTGTATGTGTGTGCGTGTGTGTGTCTGTAGAAATGAATGCATATAAAATTTCTTATATACCTTTACATGCGATTATTTACTTGTGGCTACACAAGGAGTGGAAGTATATGAATAGAACTAAAAGACTACATGTATATATTGAAGCAAAGCCATAAAATGCTTTGCACACACACACACACACACAAACAGACACACACAAACACACACACACACAAACACACACAAACACACACACACATAGTTCCCTGTATGTGTGCACACATATATGGATACTAAGTGTTAGAATAAGTAATATACATGTACGCAATTATGCTGAAAAGTTCTCTGTCTGACACACTTCCTAAAATCAGTCCAAATGACCAAAGTGTTAAATATGTATTTTTTAATCCATTCTTGGCGGTGCCAAAATTTTTAGTGCCTTCTCTTGTATATGTATACATATCTGCATTTATATATTAGGTTGGCCAGAAAGTCGTGACACACTTAAGAAGTGCAAAGAAAACAAGCAAGACCAATATTTATTCTTCCAAATAAAGTCCATCATTCTTGACGATCTTCTGCCAACAATCAGCTAGCATCTGAATCTGTCCCAGATACCAGTTCATTGGGTTTGAATCAAAAAACTCTAGACAAGCTTCCTTCACTTCATAAAAAGTGTTGAAACACTGGTGGTGGAGGAAGTGTGCCATAGAACAGAATAAGCCATAGTCACTTGGAGCAGTATTGGGACTGAATGGTGGATGTGTAAGAATCTCTACACTGTCCATCTGCTTGAACTTCTCCTTAATCCACCAGGCAGCATGTGGCATTGCATTGTCTTCATGAAACAAAACCCAACCTCAACTAACCAAAGCAGGATATTCCTACCTTAGATTGCTGTACAGGCAATCTAGCCACTAGCAGTATAATTTACCATTGTTGGCACAACCATGTGGAACAAATTTGAAATGGTATACTCCTCGGAAATTCCACCAAACAGACATCAAGATTTGTTGTTTTCTTTCAGCTTCCTAAGTGAGTCAGGACTTTCTGACCAAACTAGTATTGGTATTATCATTTTACCTTTCAAAATCAAGAATTTCATGTGTTTATTCTTGTATAACCTTTCAGTATGTGGCACTTTGAATCTTCTCTTGCCTTCAGTATGCCCTGAGAGTGTTAAATTTTCCAAACACCCATTCTTCACAATGTATTCCAGAAATTTACACTGTCTCTTACTGATTATTTTTCTTGAGTGTGTCTGTTGTTTATGCATACATACACCCACAGGGAAAAATACATCTTGGTGTATGCATTGACACACACACATATGCTTATAGTGATTTACTACATGGAACTTAGATGAGGCACAAAGTTGAAATTATAGAGCACCCAGTGAGGATCAAACTCACTACACAGCTTTAATCGATCTAATGAGACAAGCTTGATAATCATGTCAAAGTGAACCACTCGTATATGCTTATATATTTATTTTAAGATATTTTTTATGTTTATACGTTCTTTTTATAGATACAAATATTTAAGTAAATGCTCTGTTTGTAATAAACAGTATTAACAACATTTATCAGCCTGAATGTCTGAGAAATTTTCATAGAAAATATGCGTCCTCCGACAGGAATTGAATCTGTATTCTATACGGAACCGTCATATAGCCTGGTGTGCTTTTAGCCACAGAGGAGTGTTTCAGTTAGCAAGGTTGATTTTATTGTTTTTAAACTACAATTTTCCATGATTTTCTCTTGTACATTCATATCTGCTCTATGTGTATCTAAATATAAACAAATGATGTCACACATTATAAAATGGACATTTTTAAGACATTTTTTTTATGTTTACACGTTCTTTTTATAGAGCATTTACTTAAATATTTGTATCTATAAGAACATATAAACATAAAAAATGTCTTAAAATAATTGTCAGACTGTCCATTTCATTATATATTCATATATATTACATACTAAATGTTTTGCAAGTTTATATAAGTTCTCGGCCTGACCCACTTCTTAAAATCAGACCAAATGAATAAATATTGGAATGTTCACTTTAAGACTGAAATCAAAGCAAAATCAAAATAGCTTTCAACTGCTGTGATGCCATTTAACATAGAAAGAAAATCAACCAAAGTCAACTAAGGTTAACAATTAAAAGTAAACATATGGTGGTGCTGAAAAGTTTTCTAGCTATTCCACTTCTTAATAGCTGACCAAACATGAAAAAACGTCTTTTTTTTAAAAATACTTTCTTGGTTGGGTTGTGAACTTTTCAGCACTTTTGAGTATAAGTCAAAAATTCTGTGTACCATTGCATTAAAAGATAAAAAAAATGAAAGTTGCATTTTATCTTCTGAAAATGTATTTTGGTAAGTCAGAATTATTTTATGAAGTTAACCCAATATAAATTCTCAACACACCAATCCATATATCTATGCATCTTTTTTTTACTTATTTTTATACACACAGATGAGACTATATATATATATATATATATATATATATATATATATATATATATATATGTATATATATATATATATGTGTGTGTGTGTGTTTAAATATTATCAGATAGAGTGTATCTGTAGAAGAGACAATATATATAGATTTCCCTAAGCAAATACATTTATACATATATGAAGAGATAGAGATTTATAATTACATATATACATGCATATATATGTAATTATAAATCTCTCTCTCTCTATATATATATATATATATATTTATATATATATATATATATATATATGTGAGTGTGAGAGAGAGAGAGAAGGAGAGAGAGAGAGAGGAGAAAGACAAAGAGACAGTGAGAGAGAAAGGAGGAGAGAGTTATGAGGATGTGTTGAAAGTTCTCTTTCTGATCCACTTCACAAAATCTAACCAATTGACAAAATATCAGACTTGATTAAGTCAGCAACTATTAAGAGACCCATATATATATATATATATATATATATATATATATATATATATATATATATATATATATATATATATATGTTTCTAAAGAAAGAAATGGATTTTCAATTTATCAATCAACAGAATATTACTAAAAAATATGCACTCTACAGAAAGTGCATTTTTTTCTAATAAGATTTTTCAAATATTCAGGCCAGTAGATAGAAATAAATATATTGTTTAATAAATAAACAGAGCATCTACTCAAATACAAATATCCAGTAAGAATAACATTTAAGTAATTCATATATATATATATATATATATTATGTATATGTTGGCAGCATGTTTGCATTAAGACATGTCTCATTAAAAAATTTAGAGTTTTGTCTCCTTATTCTTAATAGGGTCCTCTGATATTTACAAGTTTTTTGGTAACCTTATTAAAAGAAGGAAGAGCACTTTTCACCTCACAAATAAAAATTTAAATGAACACAGTTTAGCAAAAACAAGAACCTGCAGATGACATTGTGCTAATCTCAAAAGTACTCAGAAATAAAATGGATATACACAAGTTTCGTTAAAGATGACTGACTGCAATTAAGCTTTTTATTTAATGCTTTATTTAATATATATATATATATATTTAGTTTATGCAAAACTAGGTAATCCGTATGGGTAGACCCAAGGAGGATGATATCCAGAGAGTTCAATGTAAATTCAGAGCAAATATGCATTTTTCATTTCAACTTTTGGAAGTAAAGTCTGATGATCCAGAGCCCTTTAAAAGGGTTGTGGTGAAATAACTTATTACATGGAACCTTAAAGTGGTCTGCTTTTATTCAAATATATATATATATATATATATATATATATATATATATAAGGCTCAAATACTAATAATCCATGGTTATAATTTATTACATTGGAATTGTAATCACAATTCAATTGCTTTTTGAATTTGTTAGTCTGACGAATTGGATTGTGATTACGATTCCAATGTAATAAATTATAACCATGGAATATTAGTGTTTGAGCCTTTTATATTATATTATATTCTTGCTCTGTCCTGAACATTGAGCTCTACCTGGATTCTATCCTTTTGGAAATATATATATATATATATATATATATAAATTGACCACTAATATCATCTATATATATATAAATATATATATATATACTTCTCGTTTTCACTCTCTTGCGGTCATGTGTGATGTCACAAGCTGCAAGTTTGTCATTGCATTGAATTTTTTCATGCAACGAAAACAAACTATTGTTATTGTTTCATCCGTATATCGTTTGATATATTGAAATGTAATTGTCATCTTTGATAATGGCTAATATAAGCCAAAATCTTAGATAGGATTTAAACATGTATCAATATGGTGATTTCCTTTCGTCTTTCAATGATAATGTTATTAAGCTTATCAGACAATATGAAAGGAACTTACTTAAAATAAATAGACAAAACTTGTCTATATTATTTAATGAAACATGCATCAATATATATATATATATATATATATATATATATATATATATATATATATATATATATATATCATGGATAATGGATTATGGGTTTTGATCCCAGCTTGAGGCAATCGGATATCTAGCTACACTGATGAGCTGTGTTGCAGTGAAACAGTCTATCTGTGGATGACAATATATACACCCCTCAGAAAATTTAATACTGGTCAAGCACTCTTGAGAAAAATTGCGAATTTGTAAAGAATGACTACTACTGCTGAAGCTCTTCTATGAATTAAGCTCTCTCGGTCATTGGCATGTTTATTCAAAGAATAAGTACATAAAAATCTGCCTTTCTCTCTACTGGGCACTGATAACTCAGGGGTAAAATCTCTGACTGATGCCAAACCAGTCAGGTTTCAATCCTGGCTTGAGGCAATTGGATGTCTAGTCACACTGATGAGCTTTGATACAGTGAAATAGTCTGTCTGTTGATGACACATCATAT